ATTCATGGCTGCTTAATAGAAAAAAATTTTTACACACTCCATTGAACTACCTATTGATGCTACAATTGAAATGAGCCTTTAAAATGGTTAAAGAGATGTGACAGCCCTACAAGACCAACTAATCTGAATTAAACACAAGCGTCTTTCTGACAAAATGCCAGCAAAAGTAAACTTCAGAACTGGAAAACATCTCTTTTAGAATGGAAACATAAGGAACACTCTGCTAGTATTATTTAAGCGAGGTTTGTATAAGTCTTGTGTTTAAGATAGTTGTTGACATGGTTGTTAGAAATTAGGGACATCTTTTACCATAACAAGACATCCAAGGAAGGATACTTTATAAAGAAAGTTTCATAGTTTAGAAGTATAACATCATGAAACTTAAGGAAATGAGTAGGTTTAGGACAGATGTGAAAGAATCATGGAAGGGGTAACATTGATCAAGATACATTGTACACTCTCTTTTTAAACATCACATAAACAAAGGATTTGTTCAAAGTTGGCATGTGAAAATTTTACATTCAAATAAAACAATTATTAGCCTTGGTGGCTCATGCCTGTAATCCTAGCTACTCAGGAAGCTGAGATCACCATTCAAAGCTAGCCCAAGCAGGAAAGTCTGTGAGACTCTTTATCTCCAGTAAACCACTAGAAAACCAGAAGTGGCACTGTGGCTCATGTGGTAGAGTGTTCACCTTGAGCTAAAGAGCACGGGGACAGCACCCAGGCCAGAGTTTAAGCCCCAGGACTGACAAAAATAAAAAATAAAATAAAATAAATTATTACAATAACAAAAGGGAGAATTCCCTCTTAAAGAATTGTTTATCCTAAAGTTGAGGACAGGGTCCATTATAATGACCAGATATATAAGAGTGAAATCTCCAAATAAACAGTGTGTAAGGCAAGGACACATTTTAGCTATACCATAAGAAGCATCAGAATGTCATTTCTTTGGGGCCAGAAGTGTGAAAGCCTATCCTATAATATGGGCAAGAAGAGGATCCTTCAGAAACTCTGGAGAGAAGGATCATGTCAAAAAGATAAAGGCCTAAATTTACCAGTAATCAGGCATATGGGTTGCCTACCTTTGCCCTTCTTTAGTGGAAGTTTTCTTTATAGAAGCAGGTTTACTATCATATGTGTTAATTTAAAATACAAGGTAATTTTGTTTTACCCTATTTCAATGACACTTGATCAATTCTCTCTTGGAATCCATAACTTCAAATACACATTCACACATCAGCAATAAGAAAATATAGAGATGGTGCCCCTTATGGTTTTCACCAGCCAATGCTAAGCATGGCTGACATGGGCACTTTTCATTTAAGCTTATTATTCCTGGTAATAAAAGCAGTTTGTCCTGGGCAATCTTCTTATTTCATATCACTCAGTCAAAACCTGAGTGATGCAACTACGTAGCTAATTTAAGTCACACACACACACTTTTAATGTAGAATTATAGAGTAATAATGCAGTTTTAAAGGTTTTTATTTTTTACTCTACTACAGTAAACCAGCCAGGATTTGAAAAATTCTATCTTATTATCAACTGACAAACTCCCTCAGAAGTCTAGATAGGGTGCTGGCTAAAAGATCAGAATCTTAAGTACAACAAACCTGGTTCTAAAGACAATGGGACTTTGAACAATATTCTAATCCTCTCTAAACCTCAGTGTCCTTTCCTGTAGAATGGAACTGATAATGTATTATTCCGTAAGGATATGGAGAGTACCAAGTGAGGTAATAATTCGTGCTTATTACGGAGGTGGAATAGGGTGAAGATCATTGTTTGGATTCCTGGTGGATCTTTGGAATCTAGAACTGTGTTAAGAACATCATGGTTACAAATAGTTCAAAAATAGATGGGAAATAGATGGATGTATGACTATCCTGAAATTGAAAAGTTTTGCCCGCATCCAGGAGAATGGTTGAATTTGTTCTTCAACCTAAGAACAGTATTGCTAAATCATCCTCAGAATGTAGATGCAGATTCTTCTTTGCCTCATATATTACTTTACCAACCCATCAATAACCCAAGGCTAATATCCCATCCATCCCTTAAATTCTTCCTCAGATTGAGCCTATATAATCTTCACCCAATCAGTAACATGACACTTTTTCTACCCCTTTATCCCATCATTGATAAAAGCTATCCAGTTCTGCAACTACCCTTCATATTGCTCCTCTACCTCTGGTACTTTCAATCCATATTGCTTCATAAGTACTCAATCTTCACTCTTGTTTTTCGCTCTCCCTTCCCAAATTCTGTATCACATTAAGTCCACATTCTTAGTTCTTACAAACTTGGTTCCTACAAACTAGACTGCCATAAAGCAATCTGCATCCAGGAGGCATTTCGCCCCAGGGTATGCTCACAAAGTACTTGTACCCAGAATCTGTGAGTCCACAGTCTACTGCATGAAGGAGGGATTTGGTTCCTGTTAGGTTCCATTTGGAGACAATTCTGTAGTTATCATTAGTAACTTCCTTTGAAGTGTTCAGAAATGGATTTTATGCACCCTGCTGAAATATTCCTATATAAATGAACTAATGTGCTTAACTCTTCTGTTTTCTTTTAATAGGAAATAGGTTCTTGATCAGGCATATTGGTTAAAAATGAACAAAATTGAAATTTTAAATTCTATTCTTCCTTTTCTCTTTTAAATGTCTAGCAAACACTACATATTATAGTGTTATGGTAATAGGGAAAGAGACATATAAAGGAAGAAGTAGAATTTACCTCTGGATGAATGTTATTTCTAGGTATGTGAAATACAGATGGCTTTCATCTGAGGTTGGAGATACTTTCTTAGTTTACTTAAAAAGAATTATTAAAATAATATAAGATACATTCTTCTTTTTTGTCAGTCGTAGGACTTGAACTCAGGTCCTGGGCACTGTCTCTGGTATGCTAGCACTCTACCACTTTGAGCCACAGTGACACTTTCAGTTTTTGGTGGTTAACTGGAGATAAGAGTCTTATAGACTCGCCTGCCCCGGGCTGGTTTCAAACTGCAATCCTCAGATCTCAGCTTCCAGAGTATCATAGGCATGGGCCACTGGTGCTTGGAGATTATATATATATACATATATATATATATATATATATTCTTTTTAATTGATTGCTCTTAAATTTTGTGGAAGCTCTAATTCCAGTCACTGTGGCATCATACAGAGGAGGACTGTACCCATGAGAACTGCAATCCTTTGCATAGAAACATGACACCAAAATGGATAAAAATGTTCAGGAGAATGGAAAGACAAAGGAAATATCTGGCAGGAAATGAAAAATCTATACTTTCAACTAACTAAGGTTCTAAAAAGCACATTAGTCAACTTAGATGTAGGATCAATGGTTTAGCAGATAGAGATGGGCGAGATTGGATAAGGTCAAATGAACATTAGATTTTCTCAATCAGATTAATGAATTTTGTCTATGTGGTTTCAGGAGCTAAGAGGTACTGCTGGGACTTGGTTGTCTATCAGGGAAAATTCTTTTCTCCCTAGATTTTAAGTGCATGTTACTACATGAGAGAGGGATGTGCCACGGTACTCTTATCTTAGAAAAGAAAGTAATGGCAGAATTTTAACCGAAGAAACGTCCCAGATGATTTAATTGCCCAAATAGCTCTGAAAGCAGACTGCTCTGAGTTATCTAATTCCATCTTCACTGTTTTGCTTTGCAGGGAGTGAATGTGGTGAAGAATAATTACTCTGGGCAAGCCCTTGAGCAAGTTAGAGAGAAGTTGTCTTTCAGCACCTAAGAAAAACTCAAGCAATCCACCATTTCAGAATTAAGTAGTTCATTATAATAGAAGGAAGCTAACATTTCCTTCATAGTTGATAAGATCATAACATCATTAATAAAATGAATAACATAATTAATAAAACAATAACATTCCCCTCATAATTAATAGCATGGTTCTTAAACCTACTCATCAAAGACAGTATTGTACAAGCAAGCAGGTACAACTGTAATATTATTATTCTGCAGGAGAAACGTGAATGAATGTTAACAAAACCTTAGGAATCAAAGTGGAACTCCTCCAAAAGCCTTACAGAAAATCCAACATGAAAAGGAGAGGGAGAGAGAGAGAGAGACAGACAGACAGACAGAGACAGAGAGACAGAGAGAGAGGGAGGGAGGGAGGGAGGGAGAGAGAATAAGACAGCACAGTAGACTCTGAGACTATTATGAAGTCCATTATGAACTCAGCTATGGATGGGCACAGTTATTGGAGTTATAAAAAGGACCCCAATGACTTTTACTTAAAAGTGTTATTAAAATCAGTCTGGCTTCATTGCCATTAACTCTGCTTTATAGTTCAATGGTACAATTCACAGAGTTATATTTTACTCAATGCCAAAAGGTTTTTCAAGCTGGCCTTTCCTTTTAATTATAATTGCAAACAGATATAAATGGATTCTTAGAGTCACACAGAACTCCTTGCACTTCGGTTCGAATCAACTCACACTGGGATGCAGCTCATGGTCTTATTTTCCCAATAGGTGATGACTCTTCTATATATGTATTCACATAGTTCCGAACACAAAAGCTGAGAGTTTGCTGAACACAATAGAACTGCAATACATATATATACATACAATGTCAAAGCTCACTGCAACATTTATAATGCCATAAAACAATTGGAAAAGAGAAAGACTGACCTGTAAAAATCCTGTGACTGGCTTGATTGCTCAAATTTGGTTAATTTATTCAATGGTGAAGCTTTTCCTATGGCAAAACTTACATACTTCTCCCATGTTGTATAAAGAAATTATGAAGACAATTTTATAAAGTTAAGAGCTCACATCAGTATTTTCATTCACAATGCAAAGAGTGAATGTCTTCAAACCAGATAACCAGATAACCAGACTCTCCGTATCTTCTGTTTGATTTGATAACTGATACAAGTAATTCCCTGTGATGGAACATGCTAAATGGTACAAGAAAGATCCCCTCATTCAACAAGCAAATTTTGATCGACAGTTATTTGCTGTGAGAACATGACAATGGCCAGATCCCAAATGCAACCTGCCTGCACTGGTTTAGTCCCCAATGTGTTACATTATATGTGCGTTCACGCTGAAATCTGGTGTAATTACAGAACTAAGCAATGGTAAACATAAAGCAGTGTGGTTAGCCATGGATTTTATACTATAGGCATTAGAGCAGAATAGTGGTATCAGTAGATTTGTCTTCCTCTAAATTCACTCATGACTTGCACTGGATGGATTTTCTTCTTTGCAGAGCCTCGTCTGACAGCTGCATATGTTTCTTCTGGTTTCTCTCTTTTAATCAAGGGTTTCTTTGCTGGAGCCTTCATCCTCCACATCACTACTGGGTGCCGAGGCCCTGTGGGACTCTGGATCCGGATGATCTTGGTGGAGGCTATGTAAGACATTTTTACTGTTTGCACCACAGCATTCATTAGATTTTTGGCTGCTTGGATCAGGGAGGTGACACTGTCCAACTGTAGGGAAGAAAAAAGAAAGAAGAAAGCACTAGTATTCAAGATGCAATTGGAAATATAAAAAGTTTAAAACCATAGAGGTGGGATAGGACCCCTTAATTTTAACCTAGAAGTGAATGAGTTGCTTCACATTTTACCTACCTCTACGTAATCATCCACACAATTCGTCCTATTCTTTTGATTATCTATGTATTGTATAATGTAAAATGCAATAATGTAATATATAACAATATCAGAAATATGACCTGATAATATTACCAGTAATATTTTACAGCTATACATCTACACACCTTTCTAGTTAAGTCAGAAATGTAAAGCTTTTATATATGGCCACCATGTTAAATGTTTTGCAGGAGCCTTAGAGTTCCTAAATCTGTAAGGTATTTATCTATCTATCTATCTATCTATCTATCTATCTATCTATCTATCTATCTATCTATCTATCTATCTGTCTGTCTGTCTGTCTGTCTGTCTGTCTGTCTGTCTGTCTGTCTGTCTGTCTGTCTGTCTGTCTATCCATCCACCTACCTATTTTCCTCATCTACAATGATGTCTGAAAGGGATTAATTTATTTCACTTGGTTTGCAATGAATCCATATAAACTCTTCAATAACTTAAATTAACCCTACCCCCAACATCACATGGCTACTGAATTCTTTGTAAATTGATATACTTCTCTACTTTTAGGGAATACTGGTGAGCCCTTTCTGTAAGCCAAGACTCTCTGAAACACATTTGATATTATGTATAAATAATTACATAAGAACAACAGAAAATAGATGAAGATAAATAACACAGAGACATACAGGGGTAGCCACACACATATTCTATTTTCTTTTGTGAATATACCTTAAATAATTTAAGGGTACCATATATACGGACCATTTATTCTAGCATGCAGTGTGTTAACATATAATTTACCATATAATCAGATCTCTCCCATTTGGTAACTTCGGGAATTGATTTAACTATACTGATTCCAGATACTTCAGTGATTAAATGGATAAAATGCATATACAAGAAAAAAGCATGCCTGTAAGTAAACTAGCCCAGGGACCAAGTACTTATTGCTAATAAATATCAATTTCTTTGTTAACGACAAAAACTCACTTAAGGATGAAGATTCTAATGACATTACTAAACGAAACTTTTGCCCTCCCTGAAACTGTTTATTTTTCTAGGCTGTGCATGAAAACAATCTCAGGGAATGATATTTCACGAATCTTATAGTATACCTCAGAGCCAAGTGCAGGTAGCTCATTTTTTATACAACCATTGCCTCTTCTCTTGCTTCCGCTTGGCAGATTGTCATCTTCAGCCTACTTGAACTGGAAGATATGCTTCCGCTGTCACCTTTCTCATCTGTGCTGTCAGAGTTGAGAGTCGACACTGTTTCTGTAGTTACTGAAACCCATCCGCAGCTGCCCAGCCTGCGTATCTATACCTTTGCTGTTCCAGAAGTCTCATCTCACATACAGAATAAATGAGAGAAGCCGCACAGTGAGACGATGTGCCTGGGGCACTGGTCTAGCTGGCAGCTTCCTGGGAAGAAAATTTAATTAGCTCCATTATGAGCCAAGCCTGAAATCCTTGAGCAGGTAATGGCCAAACAAACCCAAACAAACAAAACCCCCTGCAATTTTAAAGGCAGTAATATCTGACTTCTACAGCACATGTATACATCTTTTCACTTATGGAAGCCAGAAATGTAGAACTTGTGTAGGTGGCGGGCAGGCCCTCTGATTTACAACCATTAAGTAAGAACTGCTCACGTGAAATGGGGGATATCGAGTGCTTCTAAATCTGTACAGGCCTTTTAAAAATACTAAATTGTGAACAGGATAGTTAGTATAACTAGGTAGCAAATAACTCAACTGACAGTTGGCAAGCTAACATGTCCCCCTTCAATAATTCATAGGTTTCATTAACAACTTCCTGAAACCGGGTTATACTCAGAAAAGGTTTCCAATTTCACTAAAAGAAGGAGCAAATTTTCCATAAGGTGGAAGAGTCTTTGAGGCTCTTTGGTGATGCATCTATCACACACGAAAGTGTGAGATTTTTCAGGAGGGCTCTGAATCCCTACGGAGTCTTTCACAATATCAGATTGTAGGGATAACCTGTCCGTCAGGATTTCACAGATGACTTGGGATTTCTCACCCTAAAAGATATCTTCTCTTCCCATCTTTTTATACCATAATCTTATCATTGATACACTGTTTTGATTTCATCTCCTTTTGGCTTTTCCTCACCAATACTATCTATACATCAGCAAGGGAAGATATTCAAGTTTAATCCGGAATTTGCTAAAAGGAAATTGGCTTCTCTTCTCTCCTCAGTCTCTACCTGTGCTATTGTGATCTATTCTGCTGGCTTCTGACAAATCCTTTGATTGTAAAATCGCAAATGGCTATAGTAAAATCTTCCTCTCTATGTGATTCAGAAAAAAAAAATGACAGGACAATTACCCCTCCTAGGAGGCCATGAGGACTCCTTTTGCAGACAGATTACGACAATTACTCAAAGAACACTGTTATTTCATGAGGGAAGATGCTATGGCATGTTAAGAAGATCGCTGAGGTCTAAGAACTCGTGTGCTAAGATGTATAACTCTCAGCTATCAGTCAAATCACAAGCCACACAAGCAAGGGGCAAAGACAAGGATAGCTAATGATAGAGAATTTTCTTCAATGTCCAGGTAGTATCAGTGATCTAGACTTAGACAATACACTAGTGCAGACACAATTTAGTGTCTGTAGAAAATTATTATAAATGCTTTTATATATTTCTACTTGAATTAAAACATCCTTTAAGGAAAAGATTCACCAGAATCCTCTGTGGAAAGAGAAAACAATTGGAAGAGAATATACTACTTGGGGAACTATATTCTGCATCTGGAACCAAACTTTCTGAACTTCACAAATATTCCTGTGGAAGACAAGAATATCACGTTATTTCAAAGATGTCGAAGAGCAAACCAACTGGACTCTAAAACTCTGGTCCACAAAATCTCTATTACACACCGTTTTCATTAACTGAAAATACTTCAGACAAAAATAATTTGAACTGTGTCCCAAGGCAGAGGCTCGTCTCTCTCACATCTGGAAACACTCCCCTATGATCTGTGGCATTTTTGATTGTGGTAACCATTGAAACAGTGCCTTCTACATCTCTCATTCTCACACACTCACATACCAATGTTCACACTCATACTCTTAGGTAGCAGCTGTCCTCACATCTTTTCAGAAGGAGGGACAGGATTTTTAGCTAATTCTCAAAGAAGATTGTGAATTTAACTGAATTTCTTGTCTGGATTAAATCGATGCCTACCACATAATGAAATGGAAGACAGTAACCAATTGATGCTGGTGACCGGGGTGTACTTTTGTAACATTGATGTGGTTTCCACATAATGGAGCATGAGCATCCCTCATGGTTATCAAGAGCTGTGTAGCATTTTCTAGGTACAAATATTAGTTGTCAGGTTCTGTCTCTGTTGACTTTCATTTCAGAGTAGTAGTAAATAATTATGTTTCACTAATTATTATTCTAATGTGAGTCTATGAAATTTTTTGTGAATCCTCCTGTTTATTTGAACTCAAGGGACCCTTGATTAATAGGTGCTGTACCTACACAAACACAATACTTAAAAGGCACATGTATGGATTTTTGGTTCCAAGAATAAAAGCAGTTTATAATAATTTTAATATCTACTGTATCCTGTTGGAAAGTATAGCACCTCTATGATGAAACTACTATTATTAATTTCATTTTTATAATGAAGAAATATAGAAATGGAAGGCTTACTAAAATGCTCAAGGTATATAGCTAATAAATGTTAAGTTCTGGAATTTGGATCAAGGCAGTCTAGTTACACTTAACAGTTTGCTCAGTATACAGCCTTGCCTTTGTAATGTCCCACTCCTGATATTTCATAATTTGTAGATATTTAAAAGGTAGAGAAACTGCACCAATATCAATGCAAAGTTTAATATTTTAAAGATGGTTATCTGCTTCTAAGCAAGTTGACCTTACTGTTGTAATACATACTAGTAACAGGAACAAAAAGGATATTTCATATTTCACTAGCCAACACATTTACTTCTTAAGATAATGGTTTGAACCAGCACTGGTGGTTCACCTGGAATCCTAGTTTCTAAGGAGGCTAAGATTTCAAGATTGTAGTTCAAAACCATGAGGTAGGAAAATCCATGAGACTTATTTCTAATTAACCAGAAAAAAAGCCAGAAGTGGGGATTTGGCTCAAGTAATAGAATGCCAGCTTTGGGCCAAAAAGCAAGGCCCTGGGTTCAAGCTCCAGTACTTGGACACATACAAAAAAAATACAAAAAGAAAAACAAACAACAAAAGACCATGAAGGAAGGAAGGATTGAAAATGTTTATTTTGTGTAATTTCTAGAAAAGAATTTTTAGTTATTGGAAACAGTTTTGTTCAGGGGGCACCATACCACTTAAAGACATGTACATAAATACTTTTCATATTTAGCATTTTAAAATATGGTTCCAATAAAATAAATAAAAAAGGAAGGCTATGAGAAAAATAAATTCTAGCCTCCAGGACAAGATATTTGTTTAGTCTTTATAATGTGCCAGTATAAATACAATACTGGCTAATCAAATACTTTTCTGATTCTCAAATTAAATAATATCAATTTGTTTGCCTTAGTTTGCAACAGAAACCAATATTTGGTTCGCTGAGTATCTTTAAAAAAACTCTTACAGTTTTAAAGTCCCTTACTAAATCATTTGGAAATGAGATTAGCATAAATCACATTAAAAGGCATTTGTGTATGTATGGTCAGGTAATAGCACAAAGTAACAATTTCTACGAAGAATTAATTATCTTTATAGTCTTTCCACCTATTTATTCGGAGCCTTTCTACCATATATTTATTTGCATTTTTAGACTGATCTAATTATTGCACTGGTATACTACAAAAATGTTCAAATATCTTCTTCTTTTAGAAAAAAAATCAACA